GCATTCACAATTAATGAAACGTTATCAGTGATTCGACGATGTTAAGAAGAACAGTTCGCTAACATTGACAAAAAAGTTTCAGGGTAGGAAGAACACAAATTCATGTAACATAAAACGGGGAGCCGTTTTTGAATGACTTGGTGAACCACACGCCAAGACTGATCAGAAAAAATGATAGAAAAATGGGTAACGAAGACATGAAGGCACCTTGCTGGATATAGTGCCGGTCAGCACTGCCGGAAAAATCCCATTATCTGGACAGGTGATTCAAGAACGATCATTACATTTTGCAAAAGAATTGTAAAACACGGACATTACATCGTCAAACAGTTGGCTACAGGCTTTCATCAGTAGACAATCTTGTGTTTACTAAGCAATCGGGCGAAAGTGGTGACTCAGATATGTATGCTGAATCCGACTAGGCAGAATAATTGCCCGAAATATATTCCGCCTACACAGCACAAGACATTTTTGATTTATATGAAACTGCTTTGCTATTCGAAATGAAGTCGGATAAAGTCTTTGTGTGAAAGGATAGAAATGCACAGATAGGAAAAAATCAAGGCGCGTATAACAGATACGCTGTGGACTACCAAATTGGGGGAGCGACAAACGGCTGCAGTGATTTGGAAATCAGCCAGCACTCCAAATTTAGAAATAGCATTGAAAACTACCGGCAGTTTACCTGGAAATAAAAAAGCATGGATGACTGCAACTATTTGCAAAGATTTAACAGCAAAATACAGCAAAACGGAACACCATACCTTCTCTCGACTAAGCAGTTGCCATCGCTAATTCCACCTACTTAATAGCGAATTGCACTTCCTGTTACCCAACACTACTGGGTTACTTCAACCCTACGACCAGGGTGTCATTCAGGAGTTTAAATCGGATTTTAGAAAAAAAACTGCTACTCCAAATTATATCCATCATCGAATCCTACAGATATGTCCGGAACTGATTTCATGAAACGAGTACCTTTAGTAAACGTCATGTTCTACATAACTTCTACCTGGAAGGAGGTGCAGAACTCAACTGTCTCTATTTTCAAAGCAGGCTTTCCTTGCATTGCATAAATATATTCTGAGCGCAAAATGCAAACTTGACCTAGGACATATGAGCAAATTGTACCACATTCAAAAGCAATTGCTATGGATAATCTCTCAGGTGAATTGATTGAAGGCAAATTGGCTAATAGCCATCTGGTTGATTCTTATTTCTAAACATGTCACAAAAGAGAACTAAACTGGGACCTGCCAACCACATCAATTTTAGCAGCTGTGAATGTGAAGGAACGCAAGATAAGCTTGTCACTGGCACGGTTGGAGGATGCATACGGTATGCGCTTGGAGCGCTGGCGAATCGAACGGACTTACGCTGAACTGACGGCGTTAGCTTAGCCTGGGTGTACGCGCTGGTGAGACGGAAATTGAGCGCGCGTGAGGAAGGATCCTAGCGGCACGTATTCGGCTAGACGTTGAGCCCTCAAAACGCTGTAGAATTTCGAAAGGCAAATCGCTAAGAGTCAGCAAGAACTGCAGACTAAGGGTACATTTCAGATGCTGTGTATAACAGCCTCAAAACTAGAGGCACATATTTCCGGGAATTTCCGGTTACCGAAAATTCACAAAACAAACATTCCACTCCGTCCCATTTTGTCAGTGGTCCATTCGACCCATCATGATGTCCCTAAGTGGCTTTTAGAAATTCTAAAACCAGTGAGGCAGCAGATTGCAACTTACAGCCAAGGTGACAGCTTCCAGCTTCGATCAAAATATATATTGAAAATATCCACTTGTGAGCTAAAAGCCTAATTTTGCACTTCACATAGAATATAAAGTTCCCTTTTAACGGCAAATACCACCAGCAGAAGTACGACGATGACATTCCCTCTCTCCTGGATCCATCACTGGGGGATATCTTCATGGCAAAGTTGGAGAGAACCGCAATGAAGCCGGCGATAGTCACTTTTAACCGTAAGCGTCGCTAAATGGACGACATATTCTTTGTGATGTATGAGCACATTAACCTAGGCGTAATACGTAATCGTATTAACAGAGCCCTTGCAGCACTGCATTTCATTTCTGAAAAGAAAACGAAAAGTAGCTGCCGTATCTTGATGTGCTGGTACCAAAGATACTAGACATCTCCATCCAGAGGCATAAAACATGGATTGGCCAGTATACGAATTTGCACAATTTCGTTTCTCTAAGGTATAAGCGCAAATTGATTCACTGTCTTACCTCGAGAGCACGTCGAATATTTTGGGAAGCATCCTAGACGCGATACTGACGTTCATACCGAATACGTTGCGCGCAAATGGATACCCGATATTTATTTAATGCAACCTTGGAGAAAAGCCTAAACAGCTGCCAATGTTAACAGCTGCAAAGAAAGAGCTATTCATAGGACTATCTTTCAAAAGGGTCGCAGTTACTGAGCGTGTAACTCGAAGTTCTTCGGGTGCACTTAATGCGACCTTTGCAGCAGATGCGCTAAAGCGTGTGCTTTTAATGGAACCACTTATCCATTTACGAAACGTGGATAGGTTGCCTATGCATACGTGCTCAATGTTGGTTTATCAGTTCGGGCGCGTCCGGGGCGCTACGGTTAACGGTATAACGGCAGGGCATTTGTTCAAACGCGTGAATGAACACTGCGCACGTTGGTAGAATCAAGGTAGCACAGGGAGCATTAGCAGCTCAATTCTGGCTCATATCGTCGACCGTTGGAATCAGGTGAATCTAAAGCGTGCCATTCAAGTACTATGCAATGTTTCATCACGGAAGGGAGAATCTGAGTGAAAATTATTTTCGATAGTTCTCACCAGACTCAAACATTACGTGCTGTCGACAAAGTGCTAAATGTGCCGGATTGGGCTGCGTATTGATCAGAATGTTTGGTTTCAACAAGCGGTAATTGAAGGTGACAAAGTATTTACAGGGGAAATCTCAGCCGAAGTTATAGGCCACGGTAAAAATAAGGGACCTACAAACTGCTTTTGTACACACAATTCTGGTTTGAAGTGGCGGATGTGGATAGCTTTCGCAATAGATTGAGACGCTTTCGGAATCCGTGCGAGAATTGTTCAGGGAAAGTATAGATGACTACGAAATCGTTTTCCGTCCCTGTTTGACTGCATTCTAGAGTGTGAGACAAGATGAGCTGTTACTAGACCTCGCTTCGCCATTGTAAACCAACTCTGGATGTGTTCGCGGATCCCATGAGATAGGCGCCTCGTAGTATGATCCACGTATTATGCATCACAAGAGCACGAATAAAGATAAAGAATCATTAATCTAGTCACCGGAGTCAGCCTGCTTTTCAAAGGTTTTGCGAATAAAGGCTTGTTGTAAAATGCTGTGCGTAAGCGAGCCGCGAAATAGGTCTATGCAACAGCGTCTTCCAGGCGTTTGGACAGGGCATGGACCGCACTGTCGCATTTGAAAGGAACATGCACTATTAGCTCTTCCTTAGGTAGGCTCATCCTCGGTGGTTTTATCCTGCGTTCTTTCAAATCTTTGCGAATGAATTTATCTGGATACCCATTCGCTGTTAGCGCGTCGCCCATCCTCTGTAATTCTTTGGTGATTTTGTCCCGTGTGGGTGGTACTACGAGGTGCCTATCTCAGAGGATCCGCGAACACAACCAGAGATGGTTTTACAATGAAAAAGCGAGGTCTGGTAACATCTCCACCTTGTCTCACCCTCTGGAGTGTTGCCACGTAAGGACAGAAAACGACTTCAGAGTCATCTATACTTTCCCTGAACGCTTCTCGTGCGGATTCCGGAAGCATCTCCTCTCTATCGAGGAAGCTATCTACATCCGCCAACTCAAGCCAGAATTGTGTGTACAAAAACAGTTTGTAGGTCCCTTACTTCTACCTGGGCCTACAAATTCGGCTGTGAATTTCCCTGTACATACTTTGTCAACTTCAATGACCCCGTGATTTATTGACTTCTTCCTATTGAAACTAAGCATTCTGGTCAATACGCAGCCCAATCCGGCACATTTAGCACTTTGTCGTCGTCATCATCAAATGTTTGATTCTGTTGAGAATTACCGAAAAGTATTCTTCACTCATTTTCTGCCTCCCTTTATTCATTCTAACGAATGAGAATTTTTGGATTGCTGAAGCGCAACATTTCCCGTGATAACGATAGTTTTCCCTCGCACCGATCAAATGGTCAAGCCCTCATACATTTGCGACGGGCAACGTTGTTTGCTGCGAATATTTCAGCCTTCGTTATGCTGGCAAAATAAGCTGGTCCAGGCTCTTCAGTTTCAATGAGATGCGAAAACGGAGGATATTGATAACAACGGCCTGAGCTCAAACTCCGTCGTATGTGATTAATCTGTTTCGGCTTTACTCTGTGTTACTTGTACTGATGAGGCTGAGTTTACTCTGTTTTTACCCTGTATATGTTTGTACTTGCCTAAGGATGAATCAGTGATAGCATTTGCTTACGAAACGGTCTTGTTCTTCTCTGTCACTTATATGGGGATTTTCAATTAAGCCAATATCTGTGTGTCACACATTTGTCTGCAATATACCATCTGCATTGTAGGCAACGTTACATCTACTTCCCCAGATTCATAATGATTGGGTCTCGTGAAGCTACAAGTAAATCTTCATATTCCCCTGGTTAAGGAAACTTGGTTGCATCAAGTGTACAACGTCCATATAGAAACCATTGCCAATAGCTCGAGTGAAATCGTACTAGAGACTCCAGCGGGTCACATACTTAGATAATATACTTTATAATCCTTGCCACCCATAACTCAGCAAGTTAGACGAAGAAGCAAGTGGAATATCTCTGATGTGACCTGACGTTAATGAACACGAATGAATCTAAGCGGAATAAATCCGATTTCCGCTGGGAGGGCTACAATCATTGCTGTGTTCTCTCGGACCAATTCAGCGCTCATTTGGGCAAAGTGTTGATGTATTTCCCTAAATTAATTTACAGGCCAGTGAAGAGAACTGATAAGACAGACGATGTAGAGCAGATGTATTTTCTTTGGATATATATTTTTGAGTATAAGAGAGCACAAACGAGTGTTGTTTTCTAACTGATGCAGTAGGTAGTCCTAACCGGCATGCGTAAGCGGAGACTGCAATAGAAATGAAAATTTTAACACACTTCTCTGTAAGCACAAGCAAGCACGGTAAAACGAAGCAGGTATTCGCAAAGTTGGTGTTGATTAAAATTCTTACATTTAAATTTGAATTAGTAAGGATACTCATCGACGACTAGCGCTTAAGCATCAAACCTCTGTGTAATGTTGTATAAAACTATAATTGTCTGGTCAAGGACTCACAAGTTTACTAACGGCCAACACAATCGCCGGCCTCATACGGATATTGGTTGTTGTAGTTCCCCCTGTGAAACAAGATAAAATATCACGAGATGTACACAGGACGAACAGATGCCACAGAAACACCACTTCATTGTGCACTGGATGTTGATGGTCATTCACTGCGTGCAGATCGAAAGGCAATGAATAATAATTAAGTAAATTATATTGCACTTACCCCGGCCCGTAATTGCACACAAGATACATGCCGTATGGGAAGTTTGGCTTGCCGGCGCAGTTCGTCACACCGCAGCCGACCGCTTTCGTATTCGCCCATACGATCTGCGATGAAATGTGATTCGATAGCGGTAGATTTCAGTTAACAAACTTCAGTAAATCAGGACTTGGCACTAACAAAATTAATGTACAATGGACGGCTTGACAGTGTACTGTGATCATGCGTTCTTCGAAAATATCCATTGGTCTCCGAGCAATTGGTTGTCTCTTCAGTGACTATTGTTGTCTAAGAATTATTCTGAGAGTGAATAGGAGTCGAACATTTTGCTAACTTTTAACTATGCTCCGTAGCAAATGTTTCTGCAAACTAATACCTATCTACTTATCTACATGACAAATGTCCCAGGCTGGTGCCGCATCACACTTGAGGTCCGAAGCCAAGTCTAGTACGCAATTATTTGTTTGTTATACTTTAGTCTGTGACACATATACTGCATCTGCGTTTATAGTCAAGTATGCATGTTTTGAGAATACGGATCCTACTCCAACAAGTTTCGTAATATGGGCTATATCGTCGCAGCATCAGAGTTCATGAGTTTTGCTTTTATAGGTTGCAACAAGTTGCTTACTCAGAGTTTTTCCACTGATATGAGCAAATTACTTTAGTTGCTATCCATAAGGGAGATTCGCTTGTATACAGTTGTATGATTCGGATTTTTACACAGGTAATGCTGTTTCTTCTTCCTAATTAAAGTACGCAAAGCGATCAGTAAGTGACGTTAGTGGGCACAGATGCTCTAAGGTTACCTGCCAATACGTTTGCTTTATCTTGACAAATTTAGAAGAATCCAAGTATTTGAACCCATCTAACTATGCACAGAGCAAATTATTCTGCAATTCTATACCGCCCCATGGTCACTTCAAATGTAATTGGCGACAACCTTTCACTGCAGACTGCTCCAGATTAAGATGACAATGATGTATGTGCAAAAGCGTTTTGGGAAAACATGTGATGCTGTTGAGTGAAGCTGTCAAATAGAAATAGCAAATAGAGGCTTGCGGAATCACACCATGATATTACAAGTCAATAGACAAGCTACGTGCCGCCGAACAATACCATAACCCAGAACCCGCTATCAACTCATAAGAATTCCGCATCTACTTTCGCAAGTTTCATGCGCAATACAAGTTTCAAATTCAGTGGAAGGCAAACAAGAAGCGGTTTAATGCATCCAACCTATTTTCGACACACAGAGCCCCAGATTCTCTCGTGCCACGGTATGACATATGATGGTAAACTTGTGCTGCATAGCCCCTGTGTATCACAACACACAACGTTCAATTCAATGTTGACTTGCTTGTGTATAATGTCCGCACACTCTAGCACAACTCTTTCGTCGAAAATTGTAATCCTTGTATTCATTGAACCAAGCTGCAAATCCACTGGTAAAAATAGAGTGAATAATGCAACAACATTAGAAATATGACATTACTTTTCATATGCTGGGTTTCCTGCAATGTTTTGCCCAACCCAATTCCTCCATTTCGAGGTGATTCTTTCCTCGTTCGTGTTATGGCCGAATTGACATGTGTCACTCTGTCGCTGCGCTTTCTCTGCTAGTTCATCGTCCCAAGACTGTCAATGGAAAAGGTAATGCAATCAACGGACCGCTAAGTGTTTGCTAGTTGAATTGTTCGGTTTCAAAGTACAAATGGAAATCGCCTCTACACATAAATTATTTTCGACTGTTATCTGCAATATTCTGATACATTGTAACCAAAGAACAGCAATACAGGATCCAACCTTCATCCGATAAACCTTGGTCACGCTGGCCACTAGTGGCAAGGCAAACCGTGTGATTTCAAGATGGCGAATCTATCCGATTGGCTACATGGACGTGATTAGAATTGCGTGGAGATGGGTATTTTCTAGTCAGCTTAACCTGAAAATGTGTGTTTGAATGCACCAATATGACGATTATTATTGGTAACCGTTGGCACATTAATGAATGATGGCAACAAATGAGAAGGAGGTTGTTACTATCTGGTAGGTAGAAATCGCACAATATCATTGTTCCTTCTTTGGAAAAGGATGCAATAAGCTGGTATATCTCTGGCAGCTGTGAGTATCTTATTGACAGTCAAAATGATTGTTGCACTGGTTGGATCCATTTCGCATTGAGAAGGTTCTGATCGATATTCTGGAAAGCTCTGTAGTTGTATTATGACGCCTAAAAGGGTTATAGAAGTTATCAGGTTACAGTGAAATGTTAAGTAATGAAAGTAATACAGCAGCTGTCTAGACACCGTTAGATAAATCGGTTCACGACGAAGTGAAGAAGATTTCACGAGGCCTCTCTTCTGCTCTCTACTACTCAGTGAACTCAAGGCTTAGTTGCACTGACAGTTAGAAAATTAACCGTCGCCGTGAGCGGAATACATCGAGCTATCTGTAAATGTAAATGTAATTGAGGCTGTACACTTACGGGATTTATCCTGTTGTTCCAGTCCCACTTGTACTTGAACTTGACTTGGATGCTAATGAAATAAATATACAATGTGGGAGAAGTAGGTTTTGTAAACAACTTTCATTAAATGATGCTAATGGTTACAACACAGTACCACAGTACTAAGCACGGGCATCGCATCGATTGCTGGGATACAGATATCCTCTACGATTTCAACCGTAATTAAAGCCGAGCCGTCCTGGTATGTAGCTTACATTTATTTCTAACCACCTGGTAGCTTCCGTAGGTTTTGTTTGATGAAGCCGTCCGGGAAATTTGGCATCACTTAGAGCTCTTCGTGAGCAGGTATTTACCGGTACGATCTATCCAAGGAGGATGCGCCGGTGTGCTCCGTATATTAATGTGATCAGCGCACATGACTTCATGTAGAGTAACGTCACAGGGTAATAAATGGACACTTATTGCCTGCATCAGTAAGAATATACTCAATATGCCAAAACAACTAAACTGAGTAGAGGAAGTGCACACCGCAGTCCACAGGACCCCACTAGTTTTGCAAAGCAGAACAATGCCCACATGTTGAGTGTAATGGTAACAATGCAAGTCCACAGTCACTTCAAGCATATGATGAAGGAATGAACATGTTGGCATGTTAGACGTTTATGGGTCACGGGCATCACAAGCCTAGTGGATGGCATTTGGGATGAGGTGATGAGCCAGTTGCCAGGATATAAACGGAAATTCGGAAACTTGAGATCAATAGGGCTTCACAAGGTACATAGGTTTCTTAGCACTATAACCAAGAATGTAATTCTCGGAGCCTCAATACATATCATTACAGGCCTGTTGCACTGGTGATAAAATAGTCTAGATAGCTCACTTAGCACTAGCACCAATTGCGTAGGTCTCGGAGCCTCCATACATATCGGCACAGACCTGGTGCACTGGTGATACAGTAGCCTACATAAGTCTCTTAGCACTAGCAGCAATGGCGTAGGTCTCGGAGCCTCAATACATATCAGCACAGACCTGGTGCACTGGTGATACAGTAGCCTACGTAGGTCTCGTAGCACTATCACCAAGAAGGTAGGTCTTGGAGCCTCAATACATATCAGCACGGACCTGGTACACTGAGGATACAGTAGCCTACGTAGGTCTCGTAGCACTATCACCAAGAAGGTAGGTCTTGGAGCCTCAATACATATCAGCACGGACCTGGTGCACTGGTGATACAGTAGCCTACGTAGGTCTTGTAGCACTTACCACCAAGAAGGTAGGTCTTGGAGCCTCAATACATATCATTACAGGCCTGTTGCACTGGTGATAAAATAGCCTAGAAAGCTCTCTTAGCACTAGCAGCAATGGCGTAGATCTTGAAGCCTCAATACATACCAGCATAGACCTAGTGCACGGGTGATATAATAGCCTACATATGTCGTCGTCTACCCGTCCAGACAGGGTGCCTAAAGCTCATTGCAAGGGCACCAAAAATGCCAATCAGTAGGCATCAATAGCTAGCTCTTTAACAGCTCTGGGACAATGCGGAAATGGTGACATGCAATTGATAACAGAATTGTCAAGAAACGTATTGGCACAGATAACATTTCCGGGAACGTTGTCGTTCAGACCCATTCAAAGTGCTCACGCAAATGTGCCGGACACGTCATATGCGTCACGTCAACACAGCGGATCACTAAGGAGTGGGGTAAAAGTAATGTACTTAAAAGAAACCATTCTGAACAAGGAATGCATGGGCTAGGAGGCCCAGTTAAACAGCAATTGGGCCATTCCTGCGAGGATTACAGAGCCTCCGTCCGATTCATTTACCGAATGTTCCAATCAGTGCCGTCAACCGAGCAGTTGCGTCGGGTTGACAAGAGGGAAGCACACGGAAACGAAACAGGAGGTGGCCCTAAAAAGGGCCAAGTTTGCGTTCTCACAGGCTGGACCTTAAGCAGTTAGGCAAAGTCGTAATCATCGGCTGCAGTGGTTTAATGACAATGGCACAGAACTTACTGTCTGGCAAGCAGATCATGAAAGTGCTCCTTAAAACTGTTGTCTTTCCAGCAAAGGGTTCATTTGCAGTGGAATCCAGATCTACACTGAGGAGGATGCAGGTAACAATATATTATGACATACTCAAAAGCAGGTTTGCGGATAGGCTGCAGCTCCGCCGAAGTGGTCGTCTCATTTTGTAAGCGCATAGGCATAGCGGGCGCGTTGTCCGTACTATGTGACACATATGCACAGCTGCAGCAGGGTACCGCGTCACAAACATCCGAAGTGTCTGAGCGGAGGTGAAAAGCTATTTAAAAGCGCTTGCAAAAGCACACATGCGTAAGTAAGCCTTTTTCAGAAATTGTTTCCACGAAACCATCCGGTTCCACGCTATGCAGGGCCTGCCGCAAATTGGCTAGCTATAATAACGTGACATTTCAACTACATGACACGGGCGAACGCAACCAGCGGCGTACATTACGGGGTGTTGTATCGAAATAAGTCAGCAGCTTGATAGCATTCCTCCTCAGTAAGTCGCCGGTTTAGAGGGTGCCTTTCGAAAAGAAACCGGTTGCATGGATGGTTGTGAGAGCTGGAACGTTAGCACCTTTAGCTTACGGCCATCCAGAGCAACATTGACACCAGCACTGCAATCAATGTCTCGAGAACTAAATAGGACGGTTAACAACATTATAAACCATGTACTAGACTCGCCGTATTCCTTTGCTTCTTGTTTTCCAGCGCTTACAGCGCAGGCATTTATAAACGATGCGATCATACCTCACAGCAAACAAAATTGACGTTGTTCCGATGCATAAATGACGTAACCAGGGAATAGAATTCATCAAAGCTATGAAACGAATGTCCAACAAAGGTGCCCCAAAGTCAGCCTCCATGGTTGCAATGCGTAATAACAGCCAAATACGACCTCTTACAATAGACCTCAATTAAAGTAGCGACTAAACTCATGTGCATAAATATCAAACGTTTTTTGGAAAATACCAGACATAGTCATATTTTAAGCTTTAAAATTGATGCAACTTATTTTTTATGGCCCACATTTCTTGCAGTTACATGGTTGCCACTACGTGACACCCCTTGGTCACCATTTGCATGCATGTACCAACACGCATTAAGTGGAAGTTCTTTAAACATGTGGTAACACTGTGAGACATTTAACTACCAAAATGCTTGATAATCGCATCAGGTAGATGCGGGTGGAAACGTAATCTGTGCATTCATATTTTCAAAGTACGCTCACCAGGTTGAGTAGTTGTTTGGCAGATGGTTGCCCTGGAAGTTGGCACTTCAACACCTTGAGACGTGCATCGTTATGTAAGCTCAAAAGCTTAGCCTTCTGCAGGTCCGTAATGGCACTGCATTCGAGGGCGAGAAACAACAGGATTGATACCCACAGATTCATTCTTGCGGTCCTAATTTTACTAGACCGCCGTACAATGAATTTATAGCCATGCAACCTTCTTGTCTAATGGCTCGGTTCCATGTGATTTAACGATTCGTACTGTCAGAAAGCATTTCTCAAATTGATTATGCTTTGGAGTGCACCATTCGTCAAGCGCTGACTCTACAGTGGAAGTGCCGGACCCAGAGACGAGCAGCGGTCCACACCTTCTCACTGCCCCTCTAGCGCCACTAGCCCAAATTCCATGCCAGCCGATTCTCCACATGAGCGAAACTCGTCGTGTAAAATGTGAGTCCCATTCATCGACCCGAAAAGAGAAAACTTCAGTTTAATAGGTGGGTGCCCTACTAGCGGAATTCCACCCAATGGTGAGTGATGGATAAAGGGCAATCAAAAGCCAGTGACTGAAAAATGCGCACTTACAGGCCGACACCTTCAGGCGCTGCGTGAACTGCGTACTAAGAACGTAGTTGTGATGAAACCGGATAAGGGCTCTGTAGTTGTGGTCATGAATAAGGCCGAGTACGCTCAGAAAATGAGTAACATACTCAACGACACGAGCAAATTCGAACGACTTAATAAGATCGAGAACGTAGCCGACGTTGAAACAAGCATTGCTGCTCATCTTGAAATGCTTCTCCTTCATCGCGTGATTGATAGTGACACCTATAATTGTTTGAAGCCATGTGGCAGCACTAATCCGCAGTTATATGGGTCACCGAAGACACACAAGAGTGGAGTGCCACTTAGGCCGATTCTATCAATGGTAAATGCGCCGCAGCATAAATTGGCTCGCTGGCTAGTGAAGATACTTTCGCCACTGAGACAAATGTCCAATCCATATAGTCTTAAAGATTCGTTTCAACTTATCGATGATTTAGATGACATCAACCTCTCCGATGAGGTCATGTGTTCCTTGGATGTTGAATCTCTATTCACCAACGTTCCACTACAGCAAACTGTTGATTACATGTGTGAGCTAGTTGAGCAATCTAGTTATTCATTACCAATTCCAGTCGAATTTCTAAAGGAATCCTTACTTCTGTGTACAGCAAATGTTGGCTTCCACTTTCAGAACATCCCATATCGTCGAATCGATGGTGTGGCAATGGGTAGCCCACTATGCCCTGTACTTGCCGATTTCTTCATGCTGATGATAGAAAGGGGCATATCCGCAGAAACAGCGCAGCTACCATAGTATAAGCGTTATGTGGATGACATATTAGCCTTTTGTTCATCGGAGCAGCAGATTGTCCAGTTTGTGCAGCAACTCAACAGTGCACATACCAACTTTTGGGTCATCTGCGAAGTGGAACAAAACAACTGTCTGCCATTCTTAGACATCCTCATCAGTCGCAGGGATGACGGGCTCATTAAAAGGTCTATCTGCAGGAAAGCAACCTGGTCCGGCCAATACCTGCACTTCACCAGCTTCACAGCAGTGCGGTACAAGCGGACCCTTGTGAAAACTTTAGTTACTCGTGCTAGACGAATTTGCTCGGCTGATTGTCTAGCCGACGAGCTAGAGTTAATTGCAACAATACTCATTGCAAATGGTTATCCACGTAGATGTATAGAGAGGCACAGCCAACAGTGAGACCCGAAAGACTTGATGCATAGAGCAGCCATGAAAATGATCTATATCGAGTTGCCTTTCGAAGGTGACTTTACTGTATTGAGAACCACGAAACGTCTAATCTCTGCTACGCAGAGAAGTTACTGTGCCGCTCAGGTTGTGGTCATCAATAGAATCTGTAAATTGCCGGTGCCTCCAACGAAGGAAGCTCAACCGATAGGGGCCAACTCACACTGCATATACAATGGAACAAGTTACCGAATTCTACGTCAAATCTTTTTGTACAAAGGTATATTATAGCAAAAAATCATGGATAATTAATGCTGTTCCATACTTTAGACTGACGAAAGGAAGGAAATATATATATATATATATATATATATATATATTGAGCGAACAGCGCAGTTTTGCATAACAACTTCCCAGTTGCGAAACATTCGCTTGTAAAGTCTTGATCACGCCAGATTTGGTGTACCACGAAGTATTTGATAAGAAATTATTTATTTATTTACATGCTTATTCTTTTCGCCAGCATCGAATATTCAGTCCCACTAACCGCATCTCAATACGTTGTCAAGCATAGCTGCTATCTTCTAAATAACCAAGAGCGTTGAATTCCATTGCTGGTCTCAGCGCCGCTGCAATCGTTTGCATCAATTATCAATTATGCATTCCTTCATGAATTTGTCTTGCTTTTCGGTTAAGGATGGTGGAGATTTAGCTCAAACGTTCCTTTAATAGGCGTAATTAGCAATCGTCTGTGAGCAATTTAGAAACACCGAATCACTAAGCGCCATGCCGTGCCTCAGCTGCGTGCCTTCTGGTACCTATGTGGCTTTGTGACCACCAAAAGGCAATTCATTTCGCTATCATTGTTCATCCAATTCCATGTAGATCCCGTGTTTCACGCCAACTACAGCTGGACTGGTACACTGATTCTCCACCCAAATATAAGTATACGAAAGTATTACACTTAACATGCACATTTATGTCCGCATACCCAAACATTGACTAACGTCGGCTCGTTTGACACCGTTTTCTCTAATTTTTCCGCGCACCAGCCTCATCTCCGAGTTCGATGTCAGGACTGAACGACATTTGTCTATGTGCAAAATCTGAGACCATCTTCATTTCTACTTTTTTTAGTAATACCCCTGAACCATTGCTATACGATTATACCTACTGTACCCATTTGCTTATGAGTTCATAGGCGTCTAGGATAAGCCAATCAGTTATTTATTTATCTCTTTCAACCTGTAGTATATGTCGAATGGTCGCACTGATACCCATAGTGACCACACCGCACTGGATATTTGCAGCGAAACCTGGAAGCGGGAACTTTTGCCGGAAGAATGCGGTGTCATGTGCCGCAAATATTACATATCCTCAAATGGGTTAAGCTTTAATAGTAACTCACTAGACAACTGCACAGCCTTAAGAAAACTCGGAGTACGCTACTCAAGGTCTCCTAAGTTTAAAAAACAAGTGAGCTACAACACTGCAAGTGCTAGTTCATTAATCGGACACATCTGTAGAACGATGTTCTTGGCAGAATTTAAAGTCACACTTCAAAAACCCTGTGTACGGATCCATAGTGTTATGCAATGCAAAGAAATTGGACAGTAGTGCAGTGGAATAGGACCAACGTTCTTTTACAAAACAGCTATCGCCAGCTCCACAATAAATTACCGCACAAATGCAAACAGTTACCCCGGGATGCTCAATGTGTACGCCGCACAATGATAATTTTGCTTTTCTTTCCAATCCCAAAATCTTCAACGCTGCTAACTATTGAATGTAGGAAATGCATGGACTAACAGTTTGCCGATATAAAATATATCGAGCGCACCCAACGTAATTGGAGTTTGTCTATAAATGACATCAGATGCAGCTACACAGAGTGACCTCTAGTTGCCGCTTCCAACCAGTAAACGGTAATCACTCAAATGACCATTGATCATAGATATGCCCTGCTGAGTAAACCATACATTCTAACAATTGTGAAAACGCAATATACGAGGTAACCTTGTCCTGTGCAAGTATGCGTTCGCATGTAACCGACTACCATAAACAATAAGATTCTCGGAACCCGTCACGGTACTTCTCAAAAGTAACACACCAGTAGATCAATCGTGCGAACAGCGGCCTGACCAATTTTAGATAACATTCTTCGAAACACGGTAGGTACCGCGCCCAATCTAAAGCAAGCTAGGAATACTAAAGAGCCTGTATGACGCAGCATCACAGCATTGCATTTCCACTACCCTCTCAATAGGTATCGTGCTCCTGCTTCCACTTGCTAGCAATTTAGAAACACTTAATCACCTTGTGTTCCTACTCCCTCTCGGTAACAACCTAACACCCCTTACACACCTTGCGTGACAGCGCATTATGCATTCCTTTGGCAATATACACAGATGCGTTCTACTTACTCGTATCCAGGTTATTACGCACTGCAACTTTTTCAAACTTACGCTGCTGGTTCATATACCTAGGCCGAAGGATCCACTGCTTCCTACCCCGAAGTTTGCGCGTTTTTCAAACCAGGTGGGGATGAGTCACTACAGGTTCATCCCAGCACAAAAAACTTCATCGCACAACTAATACTACAATTCCTTCTCACTCACTTCCAACAATTTCTGCAGAGCGCCAAGTAGCTATCAATGACTTCTCATCCGTTAAGCTAGTGGACCCTAATTGTTCTTCCCCAATGACGCCTATAAATGTTAGGTCCGTAAACAATCAAATGCACATCTCGCGTCCAATGTCCTTCCTCCCGTGAAATGTGCAGATTTGATGAATGAGGTAGTGAAAGCAAGCACTGCGAATCAGATGCGCTAATTTCGTTGACAGGAATAGCACCAGCAACTTGTTCTTCCAACAAGCAGTTGACCGAGTACGATGGAACATTTACGTTGTGTGGGTAATTATCACCACACACATGGAACGGACAAGACGGCCGACTACAAAGGTTACGGTGTGAGTGTTTCGGACTGGAGGCGGCCTGATGGATATGAACCACAGTGAACCATCGTGTGAGAGTGGAGTTCACAGTCAGGTGTGTGGAACGACCTTGTACATTTATGTTACCAAATTGCCTATCGTAAAATCTCCCTCTTGGAAAACACGTTCTACAGACTCATACGAATGGAGCTCTGGGTTCACATATGTAAACGTTGCATAGGTTTAGTAGGCCGCATAGTTCGCTCAGTGACTCCATCGCATGGCTCTGCGCACGTCTCTATCGGTTCAACACGCCCCACAATGTTTGGTAGTTCAAACGGGTCAGCAATATATCAAACGGCAACTCGAAAGTATAAGTGATTGTTTATTCGATCCGTCGTTCGCATCGCTGAATAACGTGCCGTATGACAGACAACGTTCCGACAGACACAACATACAGCACAGAGCATTTTCTTAGTCG